AAACCTACACAAGCGGCTGTCCGACTTAGTGATCAAGGAAGCTAGCTTGTCAGTTTGTACTAAATAGTGATAGTGCAAACCCTTTCACGAGTTGTGAAAGAAGAGTGGAATATGTTTTGTTAATAGCCAAACCATTATAAAAATCTCTCTCTATCTCTCTTTACTTTCGGTAATTTATCTTTCGTGCATAGCATCCATATTGACCAAACCCTAAATCTTCATAACGAAATAGTGCAAAGATCAATTTAAAAACAAACTCATATATTACCGCTATGCATAACCTCTGAAAGGAGTTGCTTTGAAAAATCGAGTAAAGTCTATTCCCCCCCCCCCCCCCTCCCCCCCCCCCTCTAGACTTTCTTTCGACCCTACCGGACCAACTGTTAATACTTAAATATTAAATATTAACCTAAAAACATCTATAACTTGAACAATTTAGGATTATTTTTACTCAAAACGATGTCGTTTTGAGTGAAATAATCTATTAAAAAAACAATAGCTAATCGACGGACTAGGCGGCCTAATTGTTGCCTAGGAGGCCTAGGAGGCCGACTAGGTAGCCAAGCCTAGACCACCGATTATGGTGATACGCTAGGCGGTCGGCCAACGCCTAGCGTCTAGGCGTTGATTAATCAACGCCTAGATAAGTACACTAGTACAAAACAGGACATAGAAGACTGACATTTAGCTACTGTTATTAAAAAAAAATAGTAGTGTATTATTAATTCAAAAATTTACAGTGACAAGTTCGTAATAATTGATAGATAGTCCGCGGTTATTCTTAGATGTAACGGATGCGGATTAAAAAATTAAAATAAGACTTTTAAATTTCGCCACTGTTTCTAGTTGAAACAGTGGCGAAAAATAAAAATAAAACGCCACCATTCCTACATGAACTGTGGCGAAAAGTATTTTAAAAATAATAAAAAGAATCCTTTTTTTTTTATTCCGCCACCGTTTCTTTTATTAACGGTGGTGTAATATCAATTTAATACAGATAGAATTCCGATCTAATATCCTTTAACCCTAAATCGATCTTCAGCCCAAATCTAGATCAGACGCACAGCGCACCCACCACCGCGACGCCACAGTCGCCAACGCCGTCGTTCCCTCCTCCGGCTTCCCTGCGATGCCACAGCTACCAGCCACTGTCCACCGACGCAACTTCGTCGTTTCCTACATTTTTTTTAACGATAGATATTACTAGTATATTTAATGAGAGAACGATATTATATATAATAAGAGCATTATTATATACGTAATAAGAGGAATAATATATTGGACACGTATTAGTATTCCTTACGAATTAATTAATAGCTAATATACATTATTAACATATATGTATTATTGTGGCGGGCTAATATACATTATTAATATATGTATTATATATTGTGGCGGTGTGGTGTGCCAAGAGAAACACATACCGGAGATTCTGGTGTGTGCCGTGAACAGTACAAGGGAAAGGAACCGGCTGCTTTTCTCCCAATTTTCACAATCGTTATACCCTGCACCACGGTGCACAGTGTGCCCCGCGCCTCCCAAAACAACGTCGTTTTGGGAAGCGCGATAGTAAGTTGAAATGATTATGTATATTTGTTTATACAATTATGTATATTTTTTATTATGTACATTTTTATACAATTATGTATATTTTTTTTAGACAATTATGTACATCCGAATCAGGAAATTTTGGTGTATTATGTTAAGAGTTGATTATGTTAAAAGTTTATGTTAATTATGTATTATGTTAGATTATGTGTATTATCTTTTAAAAACGAGTATGTGTATTTTGTTATATAATTATGTACATTCATGTATACAATTATGTGTATTATAGTATAACATTATGTATATTTTTGAACATGAGATTTTTTTAAAGAAAAATTAACTGCCAAACACTCGGTAGCGAAATTTCAAAAAAATAAAAATAAAAATTAAAACGACGTCGTTTTGCATCTAGGCGCACAATGCAACGCGCGCCGTGATGCAGGATATAAATTGCCCAATTTTCACTGTCAAGCATCTCTTTTTTGATATTACTAAGTTAGATGGCCTGCTAGATAAAGAAGGTTCAATAGTCAATAGATTTTCATTCGCAAAAAAAAAAAAAATAATAAAAATGATTTGACATTTTTCAAGATAGGCGGTAAAGAGAATGCAGTGAAAAGTGTAGAATGTTTATATAGGAAATGGTTGAATTTATATGTCTAAACATATCTACTGGAGATATAAATAATATTTTGATGTTGTGGAATTGAAAATATTATTTATGCTTGGTAGGAATTTTATTACCTGTTGATCTAGATTGTTGGTTATTATCTAATTATTGAGAAGAATTAATATTCTCTTTTCTAATTCATGCTTTAAAAGATAAATTCTTCTGCTTTATTAATTAAGTCTTTTGTATTTCTAGTTTTCTTGATCATTTTTCAAGTATTTATAGCTGAATTTCGAATTTGTCTGTAAGAGGGAAACAAATTTGAAATATCAACTTGCTATTACAAATTTACAATAATCTGTATGATTTGACAAGTGTATATTTTATAATTATTGTAAATTTAAAAATTTAGTAATGGTAAAATTATCCTAGAATTTGATATTTCAAGATGAAAGGTGTGGATGAGATTCCATTCTTTTTACAAGCTAAGGGAGATGATATATATATATATATATATATATATATATATATATATATATATTATTTTGTGTGTGTTTATTTTTTAGTTTTTATTGGTGAGGCCGGGGGATGAGCTTCTGGCAGCTGGAGTTGTAGCTAGTCTTCTAGAACACATACCAGCAAGACCAATATTCTTTAGTTTATCATTTCCGGTAGACTATTTTTTTTCTTGGATAAGGAAGGCAAATTAGCTAGGTTGGTAGATTAGGGTTCTAACATTTTTTAAAAAACTTTCAAATTCATTAATTATCTTAACTATAATATAGCCATATAGTTTGGTGAGCAATTATTGTTACAATTATTATCTCTATCCTTATTATTATTGTATTCTTTAATTTTTTGGATCTTCTATATTATTATTTAGAAAATGGTGATGATGATTAATAGTCATTTATATTTATAAATAATTATTTGATCTTTAAAGGTCAATTATATGTTGTTATATCTAGAGTTAAAAATCTCAAAAGTCTAAAAATTTTGATCCGTGATGACTCTGAAAATTGTAATTCAATTACTATTGTAGTTTACTAAGTTCTTAAAAATTGGTAATATTAAATACTATGTACTAAATTTTTAATATAGTTTAAGATTTGTAGTAATCACACACCTTAAATATCACTTCTTATTTTAATTGTAAATATATTTATGTTCATAATGTTATCATAGCAATTCACACATAATTATTAAATAACAAAATTTTTATATATGAATAAACCTCATATAAGGTATATTTTTATAACATATTTTTCGTGCATCGCACGAGACAAATACTAGTTGATATATTATAGCTATAATGTAAACTCTAAAAGGAAAGTTCTACTTTTTTTTTTTTTTTGAAAACAAAGTTCTACTATTTATTGTAGCATGAGATTTAGATTGATTGATAATGTCGACGGAAAGGATGGGATTAATTAGGATTAATACAATAAAAAAAATTTTAAATACAAGAATAATTCATACTTTTATAGTAATTAAAATTCTAATAAAATTATGCCACTAAGTCAAGTTTGTTGCATATAGCCTTTCTCTATCTGTAGTTGATAGTTTTTATACTTGTAGCTATTCTATTATGTGTCAGCAATTATCAGATTCTGTATTTATAGTTGATACATTTTGTATCTGCAATTGATAGTTTTTATACTTGTAGCTATCATATTATGTGTCAGCAATTATCAAGTTATTTGTAAATACATAATGTATTAATTTACGGTCAAAATTTTTGTATCTGTGTTAAGAATACACTATGAATGCATGGTATAACAATTGAAGCATGCACGTGCCAATGAAAAATCAATAACTCTCACAGGCCGTTTGGTTGGAGGGAATTTAAATTCCACTATCACTTAATTCTCACCTGATAGTACTAATGTCCATGTGTAAGCGGTATGCGTACTGAATATAAAATGGTGTGTATAAGGAAAAGTATATTTATTAAGAGGGTGACCTAATACAATCTAAATGACCACTTCGAGGGCCGACTGACTGCGGTCGAGCAGCTCTGTAGATGGTCTATTGATCGTTCCCAAAAGTCCCCCTCACCCTAATCGCCGGGGATATTTATAGCCTCTAGCCGGGGACAACTCTCCGGCCTACCGGCATGTAATCCACGTAACACCCACGTGCCCCAACCTGGTGAGCCCTCTCTGTCAACACCTAGCGTCGCCACGTGTCCCTCTCTAAAGATACTGTCTCTCCGTAGAACAAAGGTAGGGTGGTCGGGCAAAACATCGGTCGAGTACGACCGTCTTTACGCAGGAAAACAATATCAACGCACTTGGACGACCGGTCCCGACCCTCCTTCTGTTGCAGCGCTCGGGTCAAGGAACCGGTGTTAACCCTCTTGGAGAGCATCTCTGGTCGGTCGGGATATATCCTACCACCACCTAATTCCAAAGGCCACTAAATTCCTTAGTTTGGTTAGAAGGAATTGCAATTCCTTCATTTTCATGGAATTAAAATCTCATGGCCCCCTTGGGATTTTAATTCCATGGATTTTAGGAAGTAAAAAAAATAATGATTAGACAAAATTACCCTCTCATTTTTTAACCTAAAATTGATGCCTGACAACAACAATGAGCATTTTGGACTTTATACTACTTATTTTCTTTCAATTCCCATGTACACCAAGCATTGAATTAAAATTCCAAGTAATTTTATTCCTATAAACCAAATACTGAAATTTAAATTTTCACTTTATTCCCAGTAATTCATCGCTCATGAAATTGCAATTTCTTTCTCACCTAATTCCCTCCCTCCAACCAAACGCTCCTGTGTCTCACTATTTAAAGTGTGCCACCCACGGAAGAACAATCACTCCTTACTCTCTTACTCTCACTGATTCTCTCTCTCTCTCTGTACGCTATACAGTGATTTCCCTTTCATTGCTGCTTCAATTGCAACACTTTAATTTATATCTCTAAATGCATCTCATCTGTTGATACATTTTGATCGTAGTTCATGTTAAACTTTGGTGTTTATCTTCATTTATTTCAGCATAGCATTTTGATTAATCATTGTATGATACTTGTGTTGGAAATTTTGAGTTCCAACACAGGTTTTAATCTTTTTAAGTATCTTAGATTGTAAATGCTAACAATTTTTCAATGGTTTCACAAGATAGAATTGAAGGTTCTGATCCTAATTATATATATGCTTCAAGAGAATATTTAGAAAATTACATGTAAATTTGACACAGCATATATCAAGAAGTGAAATATTGGGCGTTGAAAAGAATGCAGGTTGAGACGTAATTAAGTTGAAAATTAATGAATATTTATTTTGATTCGATCAGGAGGCCGGCATGGATAGAAGGCTCTGCTTTGTTGTTGTTCTTGTACTAGCTGCTATTAGCAGCTGGCGCTGTAGTGCTAAAGATTTAGCAGCTGCTGACCATAAGAGAGATGTCTTCTCAGGTACTTATCCATTTTGGTTAGTTTTCCCATTCCATAATAAAATATTTTACTTTCATCCAGTTTCTGACCTTAAGAGAGAATCTTTTGCTTGCTTGTGCCCTTTTATCTTTTCAATTCTTACTTTTTTCTATTTGGTTTCTTGAGTCATTTGACTCATTTCAATAAATGTAATTGTCACGGCTAGAAATTATGGAATTTTCGACCACCAGAAAGTGATCTTAAATCAAGTAGTCGAAAGCAAAAAGTGGTCGAAAATAGCAACAAAGTTTTTTTCGGATACCAAAAGTGGTCGGAAATTCCATAATTTCCAGTAGTGATAATGCTTAATGAGATTATGGAATACATACCTTCCACAGAGAAACAAGTTCAAGTCAGCGGAAATGAAGATCTGTGCTTACAGTGTAAACAACTTTTCGCAATCTATTCTGATAAGCAGAAACAAAGCGAGATGATTGACGATCTTCACAACTACTGCTCTAGGTTTTTTGATTTGGCGCAAATGGTATTCAATCCTTCAGCTTCTAATTGTCCATTAAAGCTCCATCTTTAATTTTATCTGGAAACAATTCATCAATAATCTAGCTTACTTAAGCAGAGAATGTTGTGTTGATATGTTATTATTTATAACTTTATTCCTTTTACAAATATTGATCTGTTACTCCATTCTGCAAACAGTGCATTGCCCTTTATGAACCAATACTTACTAGTATATTCGACCGGATCAACTCCTCAACGCCTGAAAGTTTCTGCAAATTTTTCTGTGAAGGAGTTGATCCCATTTCTCAACAAAGGTGAGAGTTGTAATAAAATATACTCCGTACATAAAATGCATGAATAGCATATGTTATTGATATATTTTAAGTATTACATTTTATTCATGAATTCCCTAATGTATATACATATATACACATCACTTAACAAGAGCCATTTGGAACGTTGTTCATAAGTTTTGGTTTGATGTGGCTTACTAATCTCACTTTCATGATAAATTTGACAGTGCAAGAAACTGGTTTTCTAATATGCCCCTCCGATTCTGATGAACGCCGAGCAGTTCCCTGTAACAAATGGCATCTGCATCTTTGCAACTCGCCAACTCTTGGAATTGAGTGTGGTCTGCTTTCTTTTACAACCTTGTTCACATGTTGTAGAGTGTGGTCTGCTTTCTTTTACAACCTTGTTCACATGTTGTAGAGTGTGGTTTGCTTTCTTTTACAACCTTGTTCACATGTTGTAGACTCTGGTTCACATGTTGTACGCGCATTGCGCGAATAATTCAATGCCCAATTTGTATTTTCAAATTAGTGTTTTTGAATTTATCAAAGTATCAATGCAAGTTTATCAAATTTTTCATAAAAGTAAATATTTCTCAAATTCATAACTATGACTTATGGAAAAAATATTGGATTAACTGTTAGAATAACAATTTTAGATGGTAGCACCCTCACTAGATAGTACCCAATGTTAGGAACAAGTGTACTTAGATTTTGATGATACCAATCTTGCTAGGTTTGTAGACCCCTCTTTTAATTTCATTATATTAGATCTTTCGTGTTAGATGAAAGCAGTCACAACTCATCATGTGATTCGTACTAAGTGATACACCTACACGAATCTGAGTTGCATTTAGTATGATAGGTCTACCTGAAGTGAAGATCAAGAGAAAGACTTCCCTTGCTAACTTTGACCTACAATGGTTCAAAAACACTAACAAACACCGTAAAACATTCAAAACGAGTGTGAACCATAACTAAATAATAAAATAAAGGATTATGCAATTAAATTACCACAATTATGAACTCAAGCCTAATAAATATAAATAAATTAATACTAAAAATATGCACAATTAGGCTCACATCACTAAACCGTGGACACATATTTTTCAACAATGGTAAAGAGGGGTGCCCTAAACGACAATGGATTTCAAACGGAGTACCCATCCCGAAGCAGCCCAGCAGGCAACCGTTCTCGTCATATTGGAATCAACAATATAGAGGCCACCCGACTCATGCCCTTTACCAATAATCCGCTTCGTCGTAAGATCCTGGAACATGCAGTGAGTAGGGAAAAGGTTATAGAACAATTTAGAGCATTACTAATTTGACTAACAGAGATCAAATTAAAAGACAAGTTGGGAAGGTTAAGACCGAGGATAACGGGAGATCAGGAGTTGGATTAGCAGTGTCAATCCCAAGCACACTAGAGGTGGATCCATCAACTAGAGTGACATGGGAAGTTGAAGAAGTGGATTGAAAGGTAGATAGGAGGCTAGAGTTACCTGTCATATGATCCGTGGCTCCCGAATCAATAACCCATTTGGAAGCTAAAGAGACGAGGAAGTGTTGGGATTACCTGAGGTTGCAGCAGCTACAGTTGAGGTAGATGATGAGGATTCTTGGTACTTTAGGAACTTAGCATACTCATCTGCAGAGAAGACAACTGTTTTCTCACCATGAGCATCGGAAGACACCATATTAGCAGACCGATTGCCCTGATTTCTATTCTGAAGCTTTCGGCAATCCTTCACTACAAGAAAAATGCACATAGACAACGGTTAATAACCGTTGTCGTAGGGGTATAATTTCTGTTGTTGAAGCCGGTGTTGTTGTAAGTCCCGCGCATAGACAACGGTTTTTTAACTGTTGTCTTTTCTAGAAACAACAACGGTTTTTTAACTGTTGTCTATTAAGTGTTGTTGAAGCCGGTGTTGTTGTAAGTCACGCACATAGACAACGGTTAATAACCGTTGTCTTTTCTAGAAACGACAACGGTTTTTTAACCGTTGTCTATTAAGTGTTGTTGAAGCTGGTGTTGTTGTAAGTCACGCACATAGACAACGGTTAATAACCGTTGTCTTTTCTAGAAACGACAACGGTTTTTTAACCGTTGTCTATTAAGTGTTGTTGAAACCGGTGTTGTTAAAAGTCACGCACATAGACAACGGTTAATAACCGTTGTCTTTTCTAGAAACGACAACGGTTTTTTAACCGTTGTCTATTAAGTGTTGTTGAAACCGGTTTTGTTAAAAGTCACGCACATAGACAACGGTTTTTAACCGTTGTCTTTTCTATAAACGACAACGGTGTTTTAACCGTTGTCTATTAAGTGTTGTTGAAATCGGTGTTGTTAAAAGTCACGAACATAGACAACGGTTTTTAACCGTTGTCTTTTCTAGAAAAGACAACAGTTTTTGACCCGTTGTCTATTCAATGTTGTTGAAACCGGTGTTGTTAAAAGTGATGCACATAGACAACGATTTTTAACTGTTGTCTTTTCTTTAAAAGACAACAGTTATAAACTGTTGTCTATTGTGTGTTGTTGAAATCGCTGTTGTCAAAAATCACGCTCATAAACTGTTGTCTTTTGTAGAAAAGACAACAGTTTCAAACTGTTGTCTATTGTAAAATAGACAACGGTTTTTAACCGTTGTCTCAACCCATTTTTAACCTGCTTAAATTTTAATCATATAAAAAAAATCAATTTATCCATTCACCATGGCCAAGTATAGTTACATAATTTTGAATAAGCTAAGCAAGGTTCAAAATAACAAGTCAAAATACTTTCATTACCAATTCTAATCGAATCATCATCCAAGTCATAATACTACAAAAAACAATTCTACGAACAAAGTCTAAATGATTACAACGTCAAATCATACCTACTCTATATAACTTGATAGAATATCGGCTCATTCTGAACGCACCAGATCAATAACCGCTTTATCATAATCAACTTGTTGGAACTACATGTAAAAAGTGAGTAAATAAATTAGTATAGATATAATAAATTTGCAATGAAATGCGAAATAAGTTAGGAGTAATTCAGAAAGCATAAAAGTAGAGTTATAGTTGGGTATCATATAAAACAATATAAAAACAATCCAGTGATCCAACTTATAGTTTTCAAGGAGAAACTCTACCTATTTGCTGCACTCAAAAGAAGCTAATAGAATAAATAGTTTTAAGTTAATGCATAAGCCTTCTACTGCAATTATAGGATTAACTTATCATTGTACCAAATACTCATTAAGACAAAGCAACTGGTAAACTAAACTTACAAATTAAGATACTTATGAGTTGAGACAAAATTTAACCACTGTATAGAGCTGTAATATGTGTCCATATGAAACTGTTCTAAACTAAATTAAAGAAATAATTATTGTCGGGTGGTCGCGATGCCAATATATTTATATTCACATATATTATCATAACTTTCAAAATAATGATTATGCAACAAAAAAAGCAACAAAGAAGCATTCAAATATTGACTACATTCTGTCCAAAATCCCTTAACTCACATATAATAACACCTCACACTTCCACCTAAATTCATTTTTACTCTTTATACTCTTATTAAGTCAGTCCATCATCCAATTAAATTACAAAGTTAATTAATTTAAACCCAAATTTGTCAAATAAAAAATCTGTAGCTTTGGATTTTTGGGTGTATAATACTGGACTTTTTTTTTTTATTCCAAATGCCACTCATACCAACTTATAATTTTTCTTACATTTTTGAATTCTATATTTAACCAAAAGGGTTGTGAGGTTTCCCTCATATCCAAAAAAAAAAAAAAGAATATTCTGATGAAAATTTGCATTTAATTAACTGGTTTGATGTTCCTTTATGTACCTAAGGAATTAAAAATCAATCCACCCATCACCACATAAAACTAACAACAATAAAACCAACAACAAGAAAGTATGATAGTACCAAGAATACAAGAATCTAAAAAGCTATCTGCAGAACATTATCACCCAACTTGCAGCTTTTCTATATCCAGATAACTCTCATTTGCAAGCTAATGATGAAGAGCCCACAAATAAAATCAGTACAGCCTTATGAAAATGACTTGGTATTCATGATCGAGATTTAGAACTGAAGATTTTTCACATACCCATAAATCCCATGGGAGGGGGAAGAGGAAAGAGGAGAAAATTACCTGTTTGAGCTTTAACTAGGTATCAGTACAGTCTTTTTTCCCCTTCCTTTTTGGTGAGCTTTTAAAAGTTGTGGCTATGAAGAAGAAGAAGAGTAGTTAGAACTGAAGACAAGGACAGTGGTATTAGAGATAAGATAATGCCACCTAATTAAATAATTAATCCACAGATAATTCATCCTAATTATGATTACTATACAAACTTAAGAACAAGGAAGATGAAGAGAAACAAGACAGAAGATTCCATCCAGAATATGACAAAATTGAAATGGGAATCTGGTAAGGTGTGCTCAAAATTGAAAAGATTTCAACCACCGATAATTCTCTCAATTTCAAAGACATGTTTCTAAAATGCGCAAGTTGAATGGTTAAATGTCCATATGAAGGGAAAATTAAAGAGGGAGAGGCGGAAAATTAAATAGGGAAAATCAGTACAACCTTATGAAAACTGCAGAACATTATCACCCAAATATTCTTTTTTTGCTCTAGTGGCACAATATATCAAACAGTTTATATACATGAAAATAAAGCAAAGATAGAAATGCGGTACCTTTTCAGCTTCCAACCCAGAGTGACCAGATTGATTATCCAGCGGCCAGCAGTTGTAAACTGAAGAAGTGTGACAAGAACTAAAAAAGATGAGATTGAAATAAGCTATGGAAGTACCAGTCACAAATTGAAAAGAAAATATGAACACAGAGAGGCCAAAATCAGTTGCCTTCAAGGCAGCATTTTCAGCTTTATTAGACAGCAAGAAATTCTATGGCCTTATTCTTCACGTCAGCATCTCTATGGCTCTGCAATTCACCTGTCAATGTTATGTGCTTCATATGGAGTTCATTTAGAGTGTGCCTCAGGTTTTTAACTTCCATCTTCAATTCATGGGATGACTCTGCAGGGATCAATCCTGATAGAAAATCAGAAATTAGATAAAGGAGACGGGGAAAGAATGTGATTCAGCAGACAGAACTTTCCGCATTTCATGAATCAAGTAATCTAAAAGTACTGCCTCCTCTGTCCCAACAAACTTTAATCAGCAAGAAAATACATCAGAAATCTTATCAAAACTTGAGATAGATTAAGTGCCATCTAGCAAGATGATATCAAACTGCATCCCCAAAACTACAAGTGCCCAAAAGTGTAGTGAGGATATTAATAAAACATTCAGAGCACAAATAATGAGCATTTTCCACAATAAACACATATAGCTAAATAATTACATCCAAGCACAGAACAGATACCATGTTATATTAATAGTGCAGAAAACAATGACATTTTACTAGATCCATAAAATAAATAATAATATAATCAAAACATATGAATTTTGTTTACAAGGAGGTAAACCATCCTAGGTTCTGTAAAGCAAATATCCAATTAAAGCCATTACTGAACAAAGTAACAAGGCACTCTCAGAGATGAACATCAACTCTCATAAAAAAGGAAATCAAAATATTTCTCTAGTTAACCTGCCTGCTGCAAGTTAGACAAATGCTTCAATATTTCTATCCTTTCATGGTGAAGATGCTTGAAACATCTTTCTCTGCTTTCAGAATTGTCACTCTACCAAATCTGCAATTGTTTTCTATAAATCCCCTAAACAAAAGTTACCAAAAGTAAACACAACGTACAAAGTACTTTTCCATGACAAATTAGGTGACCCTCACTTTAATAAAGACTGCAGCATAAATACTAAATGGAAGCATTTCAGAGATAATGCCAAAAAAAAAAAAAAAAAAAAAAAAAAAACAAGAAAAAGAAGAAAAAGTGACAGAAAGGAGCCACTGATAATTGAACAATTTGAAATCCATTCCTTCCAATAATTTTAACAAGCAGAAAAAGGATGATTAGCCAAATAATAAATGCTTTGACATGAATGATGAATCTTTTAACTCATTATTCTCCATAGATCCTAACTTGGGGGAACATTTTTTCTGCTTTTCTAGAAGTAAAACAATCTGCCAAAAGCTTAAGGAGTTCCAAATGTTCAAAATTGTTCTTATAGCTGTTGGTGGAGAGAAAATGGAGCACTCATGAGAAATACCAAGTGACCGATACATTATAGAAGCATATATTTTGATTTGCGTAAATGAATACCAATGTATTTCTTATCAGCCTTTTAATCCTAGAAAACATCAATTCAAGGGCATGGATATAAGAGTCATGACACAGAAGCAAACATAATATTTAATAACCCCAGTAATGTCACCAAAAAGGCCATTCCAGCTCATCCTAATATGGAATTCACCTTTACTTGGAAAAAATTTCGAGTCCAAGAAAATCAATAGCTTTCAAAGAGCTGAGTGACTCCAAGTCTCAAACCTTAACCTTTGTCTTCTTCTAATCCAAAAATTGTACTACTGATGGAAGCAAATTTACAGTTCAAAGCTCTCGTTATCTTAATGATCTCAACAACACAAGAAAAGTAGTGAAAATATAGAGAATTTAAATCCAGATGCATAGAAACATAAATATGGTTTTTGTGTTTTTTTTACCTGAGTAGCTTTATAGGCTAGCATAGTGTCCTCGACAGCCTCTTTGCGCTCATTGCCAATCTTAAACTCAGCCAAATAGCGATGGTAATCGCCCTTCATCTTCAAGTAGAGCGACGGCGGCAGAGGAGGGAGGCGGCGATGGCGGCAGAGGATGGAGGCGGCGACGGCGTCGGAGGTTGGAGGCGGCGAGAGCACGGTCGGCGGAGAGCACTTGGCGGCGAACAATGTCTGAGGAGATGGCGGTGTTTAGAGGCGAGCAATGTATGTGGAGATGGCGGTGTTTAGAGGGCAAATTTGCAAAGAAGACCTAAGTGTTCTGACGGGAAACTTTAGCAAAGAGGGAAATTTCGCGCCTAAAAATTTGCAAAGGAAAATAATATAATTGAAGGAATTATTTTGATTTTGCAAAGAGGGAAATAACATATTATATACTATGTATTAATATAATTAGAAAAATAACGAAATTTTATTTTAATTTATAATAAGCTTTCATTTTTTTCAAATTAAATAAGTATATTATATATATTCAATGATTTTATAGGGATCAGGTCCACCATAAACCGAGTATATAGGTATAGAACGGGGTAAGAATATATTAACGTTATTATCAGGGACGCTAGACCCAAAATAGTACCGGGTATATAGGTACAGAACGCGAGGTAAAAAAAATAGTAGTTTTATTGCTCGGGATGTACCGCGTATATAGGTACAGAACGGGAAGTAAGAAAATAGTAGCTTTATTACCTGGGGTGCTAGGTCCAAAATAGTTCATAATTTATATACTACAAACTCTGAATTTATATAGGCATAGATTCATAATTTCTATACTGTAGATTCATAAAATTTTTACTGTAGATTCATAATTTCTAAACTGTAGATTCATAATTTAAATACATTAAATTCATAGTGTCTATACAGTAGATTCATAATTTCTACACGTATGCAGATTCATAATATATGAACTGTAGATTCATAATTTCTGTATTGTTGATTCATCATTTCTAAATTGTATAGTTATCAAATTATGAACATATAGTTCTGTGATGTGTGAATACATAGGAATCGAACCACTAGACTAGGGTGCCTGTAGAGACTAGAGACCACTAGACTAGTGTGCCTGTAGGCCGGGTATATTCATGGTTTTATAGGGACCGGGTCCACCATAAACCGGGCGATATAGATATAGAACATGGTAAGAAAATATTAGCTTTATTACCCGGGTCACTAGACCCAAAATAGTACTGGGTATATAGGTACAAAACGCGAGATTCATAGATTTTTATACTGTAGATTCATAAATTCCATACTATAGATTTATAAAATCTTTGGTGAATAATTTTATATTTAAATATGAACGAAAATAGAACTATTAAATTAACTTTTGAATTGTATTATTTCTTTGTTAAAATTTTATGCACTATATTTGGACAAAAAAAATTATTTACATTTTATTTTTTGTTCTAGATCTTCTAAACATCTATTTTCATCTCGTAACAAAAACAATGAAGGTCCAAATTATAGATAAAAGATAAGGTGTAACACTTTAGTAAACAAGAGTTGGTGTGGCTTGGTGGGTTTAGCTTTATTTGTTATGTTAGAGGTCATGGGTTCTATCCTTAACCTATATTTTATACAATCATTGTCTTGGTTCTCACAGACAACACAGAACCAAACTCGTTATATCTTAGATGTTGCGCTTAAGTATATAAGTGTTGGTGTGGCTTGGTGGGTTTATCTTAGTTTGTGATGTTAGATTATGTTAGAAATCTTAAGTTCTATTCTTCTTACAGGCATTTTTAACCTATTTTATAAAATCGTTGTTTTGGTTTTCACAGACAACACAAAAACAACCCAGTTATATACAAGATGTTGCACTTTGATACATAAAAGTTTGTGTTGCTAAGTTGGTTAAACCTTAATTGCTATATTTGAGGTCAGAGGTTCGATTCTTGTTGTTAAAATCCTTGTTTATATTTTATACAACTGTTGTCTTTTATAGAATAATGATGATGCGCAAAGACAACGGTTGTTAAAAAAACGTTGTCTTTGTAGTGTTGTGTATTCAAATACGCTTAAAGACAACATACCAAAGACAACGGTTAAATAAAACCGTTGTCTTAAACAAATAAAGAACGCGCAATGACAACGGTTATATAAAACCGTTGTCGTTGTAGTGTTGTGTATTCAAGTGCTATTAAAGACAACACATAAATGACAACGATTAAATAAAACCGTTGTCTTTTATAAAATAATAATGCACAAAGACAACGGTTTTAAAAAACCGTTGTCTTTGTAGTGTTGTGTATTCTAGTGCGCTTAAAGACAACACATCAACGACAACGGTTAAATAAAACCGTTGTCTTTTTATAAAAAAGTGCGCACAAAGACAACGGTTTTAAACAACCGTTGTCTTTCTAGTGTTGTGTATTCTAGTGCGCTTAAAGACAACACACCAACGACAACGGTTAAAAAAACCGTTGTCTTTTAAAAAAAAAACGCACATAGACAACGGTTTTAAAAAACCGTTGTCGTTGTGGTGTTGTCTTATCACAAAATGCACAAAGACAACACACTTATAACAACGGTTAAGTAAAAACTGTTGTCTTTGACAAAAGTGTTGCATAAAAGACAACGGTTTTGGACCAAACTGTTGTCTTTGATACAAAAGACAACACTTTTCTTAAAAACTGTTGTCTTTCTAGTGTTGTCTATGTGCATTTTTCTTGTAGTGCTTCTTCATGTTCCCCGGTCTCTAACAATAATGGCAAATGATTGGATTATACTTCTGTCCATGAGGATCCCTACTATGATATGATGACTTCATAGGCTCCCCCTTTGATTTCTGGGTAACAAGGACACTACTTGACGTAGGAGGTTGATATAGGTCTCTGTACGTAGTACTCTAGAGAACACATCAGATAGGGATTTGAGCTCCTCACTTGACAAAATTTGGGACTTTGCTGGTTCTAGCCGAGGATGAAGACTAGCCAAAAAACTGATGATGGCCATCTGTTCTCGCTGTTTCTGCTGTTCTTTTATATCCTCCGTGAATGACATTAACTCATTAAGGGCCTCATAATTAAGTTTTCTTGAACTGCATAAAATATGTTTGTAGAGGTTTGTCAAGCATATCGACTCGATAAAAAGCTTTACAAACATCATATATAGATTCGACTAATGTTGCCCTTACCCGAATACAAAAAATTGAGATAGTCTAACAATTCTTTTACAGTTTCACAGTGACTAACAAAGCCAAAGATCTCAGATTCAATTGAGTTCTGTATTTGAAGAAATAACTTAGCATCATCACGCAACCAAGTGTGTTTAGTTTTGTCATCCTCAGGTGGGTCTTTAGTCATATAGTCATCTTTGTCAATAATACGAAGATATATTTTAATAATTTGTTTACATTCCAAATGATTTGAGCCATTTAGTTTGTGTTCTGTCACTAGTACAAAATGGAGCAAAGAAATCTGACTTTAGGCTACCCTTCTTTAAACAAAGGTAGTGTATTCTTAAAAAAAAATAGGGCGGTGGCATAATTGTAAATAAATGAATAAGAAACCGCTACCTTTTTTTAAAAAAGGGGAGCGGTTTATTAAAGCGGATGGACTTTCCGCTACCCTTTCTTTTAGAAAGGACACGGAAACCAGATCGGGAAAAAATAAAAGAAAAAAAAAAGCAAAAAAGAAAAAAAAAACAACAAAACAAAAACCCTCAACGCCTCTTCAGTTTTCACAAACCAGATCTCGCTCTCAGACCTCTCCAACACTCTCTGCCGTCGCTCCTCACTGACCGCACCTCAGCCGTCGATACCGCCTCTCTCACCACGCTCCCTCAGCCCCGATCAAATACCACCGCCGACACCAAGCTAAGGACTCAAGCGCCACTCTCATCAACCACCCATGACGCTTCTCTTCTTCTCGTTAGTTACCGGTGACCAGACCCAGCCGAAAACGACGCCTCCACGTACTGTCGACGACGCCTGCCACTGACGTCGCCACCACCACTGTGGTTCTCAGCCGCCGCCGGTTCCGCTGAAGGCACTACCTATGAGGTTCTCTTTCTGCTTTCTTCGTCCTTTTCTTTCTCAATTCATTTGGGGTGCCAATGTTATTGAAATGAATTTATGTGTTTTGCTTGATCTGCCTCTTCGCGTTTAGCTTGGATTTAGTTGGATCCGGAGCTTCGTGGACTAAATTAGCTCTGTTTAGACAGAGATTGTTGATATCTGTTTTCTTTTTTAGCAGATAATAGCTGTTTCGAGCTAGGTTTCAACCTGGGAATTGAAGTGTAATTTCTCATTTCTAGATGATTCTTCTTTTGGGGTTTTCGAGTATTTACTTAAGGAACCCTTAACTGCAGATACAATAAGCATGAGATTGGGGTGGGGGCTGAAAATAATTAACCAGGACCTCTAATTTAGTTAAATAATTTAGTTAAATAATGGTTTAGTTTTCTAAGAGTTTTTTCCACTTTTGGTTACTTGACTATGATACCCCCAATTTTGGTGCATGACTATTCAATTGCTCTCACATTTTGTCATCAGCTCAATTTTCCGGAGGCTTAGGTTGCCCGAGAAATTGAGCTAAGGATGAAGAAATTGAATATTCATGCACAAACATTAAAAATCTTGATAGCCGGGGACCTAATTTTGGAAGGGGTATTATAGTAGAGGAACCAAAAGTGAAAAAAACTTGTTTCGTAATAAACATCTTTGGTAGTTCTAGTATTCTGTAGTAATTGTATTAGCAGATGCCAGTATGTCACTTTACTGTTTCTTGAAAAGATGTATCTCTAAAATGCAAGTTCCATGATCAGTTCTTGCTCTCATGTCTTTGTGGTTTCTCAATCTTCTCCCAAGTTTAACAATTAGTTTGTTTTGATGTTTTTATGATTGTTCTAGTTGCTGATGACTAGTGCTATCATATGTGACTAGAGGAGAATCAGAGACTGGCGGTGGAATGCTCGTTGTTGCAGTGCAAGAGATGGGAGAGAGAGTGCTCGTTGTACGACAGGGACCGAGAGGCATTGATGGTTCGACAAGTACGATGCCCTGTAGCTGGTCTGGTCTTGTAAATGTAGTATTGTCACAGGAGGAGATATATCAGAAGTACCTGGATGATACCAAGGCAAGAAAAACACATTTTGCTTCTGCTGATTCTGCAACTAATGGTTCTTCTTGTTGTTGGTAATCATTGGATAGGTCAAACAATATAATGTAGAAATACTCCCTGCCTATGAGCTCATAGTATCATCACTCACTTGCTTTATGTACGACAGTTTCCCGTCCTCGCCAGTGCCAGGTACAATCTCGTCATCTTAGGAGACGAGTCTGTCGGCAAAAGCAGTATCATCACTCACTTTATGAACAACAAGTTCCGTAACAAATACGAGGTAAATGCGGCTGTGATTAGTTTAAACTAATTTTGTAAATTTCTTCAGAGTAATAGAAGGACAATAATGGATGATCCTTTTATACGAAATTACATTGAAGATCTTTTGAGGAATGTGAGGACTCAAGTATTGCTCAAACTGATCAAGCCTTACACAAGAATTCGGATCCCTTTCATATCCAAGGTGATTAGATAGAGATCAGTGTCCTCTTGTACAGTGAAGGAGCTGCAAGGACATTCCATATTTGTTTTCCTATTTATCTATTCATTATTACAGAGTATTATTTTAAATACCGCCATTCTACTGATTTTTATTGGTTTTTGACTTTTTTTCCACACTATATTTCACATTTGTAATGTTTTGCATGCAGGTCAAAGGGGATGAAGAAATACACTGACGTGGATAAGTGGAACACACAGCTTAGGTCCCTCTATCAGACTGTTAGTAACCAAGTTTGTTAATTTTTGAGATTTTTTGAGAGTATATTCTATCTGAAAAGTCACTCCTAGTCCTGGAAAACAATAGATTACAAGCATTACATTTACTTTTGCACCAAAGATGTTCATGGGTAGTGGAGAAGTGTCCATTTACAGAGATGTTGGCTCAAATCTAGTTCAAATGTTTTTGACAAATTTGCTTACTAAACAAACTTAAAAAGTTAAAAGGTACTTCATCATTAGCTGTGCAAATTATTAGCTGTGTAAAACTACCCCCAATAATTGGAAGAAAATAGTATAGATTCTTGTTATGATCTTGATTTTCGCCACTTGATAAACTTGATGAATTGATAAAACCCTACAAGTCAAAGCTGTCCTGAGTTATTTCTGATGCACATGTATGTGTTCATAATTTAATCAGGTTCGTTTGTGGTGCGTATTAAGGTTTGACGAGCTCTTGCACGAATTAAGGGTTGGCTCTCCACTTGTGTGCCTGATCTGGTCAGCCATCACATATGAACTATCTTCTTCCTCTTATATTCTCTTCTCTGTTCCCCTTTGTTTTGGGTTTCAAGTTACAGAGAAGTTATATTTAGCCCGAGGAGACTTGAGGCTGCTTTTCATATTAAAGAAGTCTTTAACAGTTGCACTGTTTATATTTGTCTGTTTAGTTTTCTGCATTGTTTACGCCTTATGGGTTCATCTAGTCATTTCGATATGTTTTCTCATCTGATGAGCATGTTGTAATGGATTATTTGATTAACTAGATAACGTGACTAATTGAAGTTGTGGAAACTTGGTATTCAGGTTCCGTCTCATGTATTAATGGGTATACCAGTGAATGGTGAATCTATGTCTTTATCTCCTCTTGGTGAAGCTTGCTTGAGATCGGACTTGACTGCCATACATGAAATCTTAGAAAAACTTGGGTACAAAGATGACGAAGGAGCAGCTGCCGAGGTTTGTCTCATTACAATTATTTGATTTATTTTCATATCATGCCCTGTTTGGATATATGCTCTTCTGTCAGCTGGAGTCTATTCCTAGCTTAATTATAGTGAATAATGGTGGCATCAACTAAACGCAACCCATCAATGAAGTGCTGTTAGGATATCACTATAACTATGAAATTAGTGGAGGGAAGAAAACATGAGTAGTAAGTTCCAATTATCCCTGTAATGATATGTGGAGTTTACAGGGAGTGCTCTGAGAGGTTTAGTAAAAGCTTTTTTGGGTACACTTCTTCAGGTGTATTCTGTATAAAGCTTTTTTGGGAAAGCTTTTTTGGGTCTACTGATAAAGAAGTCATTGGTCTTGGATATTAAGAAAGATCCAAGAGATCCTAACACCAAGACAAAAAGGTCAACAAGTACGTGAAACGTCTTTTCCCACAAAAGGCAGACTTGAATTAATACCATCTGAAATCTTCCGAGTGTATGGTCACGTTTAGTAAACTTTCAAATTGACTATCTGATCCTTCAACTTTCAAATTTTACAATTCGCGATCCAAATTAACCACTCATGGTCCTTCAACTATTAAATTTTAATCAACCATGGTCCTAAGTGTCGAGCACCAAACACCCAAATTTAATTTATAGTTCCTGAAGAGATAGGTAAGAACGCCAAGAAGACGAATATCGGAATTTGAATGTAAACATTAATCATCATATTAAAAAGTAATACCTTAATTTGTTTCATTATTTCCCTACAGACACAATCATAATTAAGATAAACAAGTACAGGCCGGAAAATCTTTTCCAGTTAATAATTAGACAAACATGTTTATTAGCAACTTAAACCATATGTTTAATTTGCATTGATTCAGAGACCATAAATTGTTGCTCCACCATCCACACAAATGATTTGACCGGTGACAAAAGAAGCCGCAGGGAAGCAAAGGAATGCAACCGCCGCTGACACTTCTCTCGGCTCTGCAAGTCGGTGTTGTGGTGTTCTTTGGATCAAAGCTTCTACTATTTTCCCATGTTCTTTCTGCAAAATCAAATTAAATAATGATTAATTAGGTATTTAATATTTGAGTCAAATAAAAAAATAAGAATGAACTTTACTTTAGAAGACTCGGTGAGGGAGGTTTGCATCGGCCATGGTGCAACAACATTGACGCGGATGTTGTCACTTGCCCATTCACAAGCCAAGTTCTTTGCTAGTGAATTAATGGCCCCTTGTATCAGTAAATAGTAAAAAGGTGTTAATAAAAAAAAATTTAGCACATTTTTAGGCAAATAATATTAAGTAAAGAAAAATTTGACATAGATTGTGTACTAATATACCTTTGGATGCAGCATAGATTGTATGAACAGGTGCATAAACAAAACTAGCACATGAAGAGATGAAGACTATGCTTCCATTTCCTGTGGCCTTCAACAATGGGTGTGCAAGCTGGCTAAAGTGCAATGAAGCCTCTAGATTTGTTCCAATCACAATGGAGTAATCCTCAGCGTTTGATTTCAGAGTATCCTTTGGTATAATTCTCGCCACATTATTTACCTGTGGTTAAAAAATCAATTTCGCATTAGAATCAACTAAACTGTCTGTTTTGTACGGAGTAATATATTTCTTTACATGAAATGAAAAATATGTTCAAATATTTTTTTCATCTTTTTCAACTTACTAAGATATTGAGTTTTCCGTCAAACTGTTTGTAAACCAACTGTATTAGATTCTCACGTTCAGATGGTTGTAATATGTCACAAGTAGAGCCAAAAACATGATAACCTTTGTCTTTCCAAATTTTGAGGCACTCGTCAAGCTCCTTTTGATTACGCGAACATGTGTACACAGTTGCTCCAAGACTAGCAAATTCTTCCACTATTTCATGCCTAAGATTGGTGCATAGAAAATATATACTCCGTATTATTTATTGCATTTTCTAATTTTCACACACAATTGGAGTTGATAAATGTAGTGTATAGATAGATTAGTAACTATACATACATACATATATATATATATATATATGAGTTGAAATGAGTTAGCTATATTACCCAAGGCCACGAGTACCACCAGTAACAAGAGCAGTCATGCCTTGAAGAGACCATCTTCCTGCCATTGCTGATTCTTGATTGCTCACTCACTCTCGATTCGATCTCAAAGTTCGCACACGTACGTTTCAATACATCAGGTGTATTCTGTATATATATACCCACAAAATGGCGTCTGCTAATTATCATTTGTTTATTTATCATTTGTTTAATGAGAGAATGGGTGTGCGTTGCTAATTATCTGCTCACACGTTTATTTATCATTTGTTTAACGATATTATATTTAATGAGAGAATGGGTGTGCCCTGTGCGTTGGTTTTTTTTTTTTTTAAACATGGGTGTGCGTTGGTAATTATTAGCTAATTACAAAATCCCAAATTCCAATCATTTTATTTAACTCATATTATTTTAAGCGCTTAAAACTTGGATTCAATATTTTATACTTAATAGCAGCAATACTTTATTGTAGCGGTGTGGTGTGCCAAGAAAGAAACGACCTGCTGTATGTGCTGTGAGCAGTATTACCGTGTGTACTGCTAATTGGAGCATGTGCACAGGAGATTAGTAGAACATGCCTTAGCATGACACTTGTCACCATCCTAGGCCCTTGGCAGTTAGAGGCAGTTAAAAGATTAAATTTGTTGTTGTAATTGCTATTACCTCTCTTTTCTTTCCTTTCTGCTGTACAAGTAGATGGATGTATGCATCCTTGACAGTTAATGAGAATTTTCCCTTCTTCTTCCATTCTTCTTCTTCCACCTATCTTGAGCTCTGTAACATGGTATCAGAGCTCATTCATTAGGAGCTTCTATCCACCCTACAATGACAACAACAGCCTGGCCTTCCCTAAGCAATCGAACGCCAGTGATGGCAGGCAGCCCAACTGTCAACACTAACACGATGAATCCAACACCTCCTGCTGCTACTCCGGCGAGCAGATTGAATGGAAATGAGGTAACATTTGACCCTCAATCACAGTCCAATCCCTACTTCCTTCATATCAATGAAAATCCGGCTTTAGAGCTGGTTTCTACCCCTCTCGAGGGTCCGAACTACCATTCGTGGGCTAGGGCAATGACAATGGCCCTCTCATGTAAAAATAAGGTTCCATTCATCAATGGAAGCATTATGAAGCCTAATGCAGACAACCTAGACAGATATCTAGCCTAGAAAAGGTGCAAAAATATTGTATCTACTTGGATTGTGCGCACACTTTCCCCCACCATTGCTCGTAGCGTGTTGTGGATTGACACGGCTTATGGCATTTGGAATGACTTGAAAAGGAGATTTAGCCAGCAAGACTTGTTTCAGATTGCTAAAATCAAGTGTGAAATCTACCAAACCAAGTAGGGGGACAACTTTTTGAATGAGTATTTTACTAGACAAAAGCTGTTATGGGATGAGCTGAGCATCCTTAGGTGTAACACCCCAGATTTTCAAGATATTTAAAACTTATAAAATAAAGGTGAAATCTCATTAAATCCCAAAACGTAATACAAGAGTACGGGGTGTTATGCCACACCTGAGCTAGAGAACTCAGGTGCACAGGCTAACTAACTAATTTCCTCAATAATGTAATGTATAAACATGGCACGCAGGCCGAAAGGGAAACTATCTACTTCTACGTTCCAAGTTCTAGTGCGCTCCAGTGACTTATTCTTCTGTGCCTGAAAGCCAAATATATCTGTTCAGCGAGCTGAGAGATGCTGGTAACCCACTCCAACGCGTTGAAATACAATACATATATATATATATATATATATATATATATATATATATATATATATATATATATATATATATATATATATATATATATATATATATATATATATATATATATATATATATATATATATATATATATATATATATATATATATATATACGAAAAGTCATTTCGAAGCATGAAGATATTTCCTAAGAGACTCTAGCTTTCAAATCAGGGAACTGACTCGACACTTAGGGGTACACATAGTCTACAGTCATAACCAAGCATATACAATTCTCACACAGGAAACAGTCATAGATAAGCACAACCAATAATCACAATTAAGCATTACTAGCAAGAGTCCTATAACAGTCACAACATCAACCCTTCTTATCTCATCATATAGCACACTTTGTTGGCGCCACAGGACCAATCGCATGCCTATACATGAGGGTCAGCGCATATAGCTCTGACACGGCCCCACAGCACCCTGCCCCGTCTCACACTACGGAGGGGTCCATCGCAACCGACTGATGAGCCGCAGCTCTATATAATATTTATATACCTGACCGGTCTTTACCAGCCTGGTTAACAGTTGGATTGGTTCTCAACCCATTCAACTGCCCGTATAGTGGACCTTTGTCCTATATAATATTTATATACCTGACCGGTCTCTACCAGCCTGGTTAACAGTTGGGATGGTTCTCAACCCATTCAACTGCCCGTATAGTGGACCTCAGTCCTATATAATATTTATATACCTGACCGGTCTCTACCAGCCTGGTTAACAGCCGGTATGGTTCTCAGCCCATCCGACTGCCCGTATAGCCCGATTGATCTCAACCAAATCGGGGTAACATGCACACATAACACATAGCAAGCACATGCAGCCCACATTAACACATTGGGAAGGGGGAGAAAGCGTATAACAAAACCTATGCGTGATCCTTCACATACTAAGAATATTCCTAAGGGGTTCATATTTCTTTTACCTAGGTCAACGGGATACCAATTCAACTAGCATGCAATATATAAGACTCATACGACCTACGAACGGTACCCGAAAATCAAACT